GTCCCCTGCCTTCGCCCTAAGTCAGCTGGGATAGACTCCAGCCCCCCCGCGACCCTAGTGAGGATTAAGCGGTGTATAGATGATGGATGGATGGATGATTATATTTAAAGATAATTACATCACTTTGTGTATACACACATACACACCACACACACACACACGCACACACACACACACACATCCAGGGATGTGCCTCCAATTACTCAAATGTTGTCAATTGACCTATCAAAAGCTTCCAAAGCCATGACATTATCATCTGGACTTTCCCAAATAGTTTGAAAGCCTAATAACCTTAGTGTATGCAAACTTCTGACTTTGAAAAAGTAATAAAGAATTGTCTAAAAGAAAGTCCTCTCTCTGATTATTCTTTCGTTTAGCAAATAGAAATAATTCCGGTAATCCTAACTGACTTAAAACAGGAAAAGTTTAGTCACATTTAATGTGAAAAAAATTTATGTGTCTTTTTATACAGTGTGTGTAAACCTCTGGTTTCAACTGTATATATACACTGTTGCCCATAAAGTTGGAATGAAATATATATTTTTTTTTTACCTCTTCTCTTGAAATTATTGTGACAATGCGATTCATTCTTGATAGATAAACTGTATATCCTCTCAAAACTTTATTGATATCACAATATACATACAATACTCATCACGTTAAAAATGTAACAACAGTTAACTTTTTCAAACCGTGTTTTCAGGTTTAAATAAAACTGGGGTATTGAACAAATAGATTAAGGGTTTTGTTTAAATTTTTCAACCTTGATCATATAACAGGAAACAGATATTCTTGGGGATTCCATGCATTAGAATGTCGAATATGACTCTTTCAGATGTCACTCAGTCACCAATTTTGAGTATGGCCACCCCTGACAGGGATCAATGCGTTAAGGAATCGTGGCATTCTGTCCACAAGCTTGTTGTTGATGGTGTCAGTGGGCAGGACGTCCCACTCTTTGGTCAGATCCTGAAGTCAGAAATTCACCTGGGTAACTGGGACTCAGTATGTAATCACTGCACCTGATGAAAAGTGATTACTGATGTGTGAAAATAGAAATAAAAAGAGGAATGTGTCTGAAAACAAAAATGATTCCAACTTTATGGGTGACTGTGTATTACAATTACAATTGTCAGTGCAATTCAACTAAATTCTTCAGCAGAGTCCACGGATTCTCTCTGCCGTTTAAGTCAGGACTTTAGGAATGCCAGTCTAAAACCTTTAGCANTTTTATCAGTACTGAACATCAATTAAACAAAATTGTGCTCGAGGCTCACACACAAGCACTTACACACATAGATTGTTGGTACCCCTCGGTTAATGAAAGAAAACCTCACAACGGTCACAGAAATAACTTGAATCGGAAAAATGTAATAATAAATAAAAATTCAATGAAAATTAACCAATGAAAATCAGACATTGCTTTTGAACCGTGGTTGAACAGAATTATTTAAAAAAATGAACTCATGAAACAGGCCTGGACAAAAATGATGGTACCCCCAGAAAAGACTAAAAATAATGTGGCCATAGGGATATGTTCAATCAAGGTGTGTCCTCTAATTAGCATCACAGGTGTCTACAAACAATCAGTCAGTCGGCGTATTTATAGGGTTACAAGTAGTCACTGTGCTGTTTGGTGACACGGTGTGTACCGCACTAAACATGGACCAGAGGAAGCCAAGGAGAAAAAAACATGAATCTGTAACAATATAAACTGTGCAGTGTACTATATTATGCTGAATTTTGCAGATTTATGAATAAAATTTGGTTGGAAGAAGAAGAAGAGTTTGACCTTGACCTTTTGTGTCCAAGGTTAGATGTCACATCATTAAAAAATAACTAAAAAGATGTCAAGTTTCAGGAGCAAAATGAAATGAAATGAATGAAATGAAATGAAATGAAAAATACTTTATTTATCCCAGAAGGGAAATTCAATATTGTAAAAGCTCACTTTTTAAAAAAAATCAATATAACATATATTTTATACAACAATAATAATAATCATTCAGTCAGTCAATTGTCAGTCAGTCAGATTTGTTTTTCCAGGTGATGGCTGTTGGCAGGATTGAATTTCTGTATCTCTCCGTTCTGCAGCGAAACTGATGCAAAAAACAAAGTAGTGTAGACAACTAATGCTGCTTCAGACACTGATTGCACTTAAAGAATACAGTTCTGTGAAAATGAATTCTTGCTGTAATAATANAGTTATTAAATAAGTTAGTTTATTTGTGGAAAAAATATCAGCAGCTATTTGAGTAATACATTTTTAAAAATGCCTCATTTCTGCTTCTCACTTGTGAGGATTAGAGAAAATGTGATTTCCTGACACTTAAAAGATCAAATAATTGACTGATTGATTTATCAGGAAAATAAAGAGTAGGTTAACTGATAATGAAAAGAATTAGCATTATAAAACTAAACATCTTTCGTACTGTTGGTCAGACAAAACAAGCAACTTGACCACATCCTCAACTTCACATTTTCACTTTCATGACATCTAAACTAGAGCTGAAACTGTGAATCGATAAGCCGTTAACTACTCAATTAATCTGTTTTGATAATCAGGTGGAACAATTTTTAAAAAAAAAAACATTTTTAATTCTAAATCCTCTGATTACAGCGTCCTGAATGTGAGTACTTTCTGGTTTACTCCATTTTTACAGTAAACCACATATCTCTGGGTTGTAGAAAAAAAAGATGTCTTTACTAACCACTGATGAATATTTGTCACCATTTTCTGACATTTTCTAAGCAAAACAACTCTTTCTTATTAAAAAAAAAATAATCAAAAGCTGAATCGACAGTGAAAATAATCAATAGTTGCAGCTGTGTTTTGCATCCTCCAGCCATTACAATGCAGACGCATGTATTAATAATATTAAGTTTACCACTGTCACATGTACCACTAACATGAGCACTATCGGTATCATCTGCATGTGGCAAAACACACAGTAAATTATGAAAAAAGCAACGGTACAAACACTCAATGGTGGTAAAAGTGGATGTTAAAGAAAACCCCACTGCAACACAATTCAGACAAACACCCTAAACTGTTGAGTCATTGTAGGTGACCACTATTATCTCAGAAAATAGAAAAGGAGAACTTGTGGCCGATCTACAGCTCAGCAGCATGTAACAGTCAATGAGTTACAGTTAAGTCTGGCAGAAAACGAGACAGACGTGCTGGTTTGAACCGGCAGGGACGAGTCTCCCAGTGGAAATGTCTGTTTCCACAAGAGGAGCGTGACTTGTTTTGTTTCCATAGGAAGTAAATATGGTGTAAGATGACAGACTGTACAGCTCAAATATGAGGCTGTCACTAAAATAACACAAGCTAACATCAGCTAAACTGAGCTAATGACATTTCATTTTAAAAAATGTATGGCTCACAGACAAAACCACAAACTTTTTTCAATTACTGAAAACTTGGTCCTCCTCTCTTAGATAATGCTGGTTTTCTCACCAATATTTAACATGCTTGAGACAGAACAGAATTTGTTTTAATAATTCCAGCATCACTTAACCCTAAGAGCCGCAGAACCTGAGTTTAAAGGTTGGCATTTCAAACACTGATTTGGAAGTGAGACACCGTAAACACAGAAAACAATCGTTAGACTTTTAACTTCTTGATGGAGTAACGAATCATGTATGACAAAACAAAAATCCAAATATAAGCCTAATATGTTATTCATCAAAATTACCAAAAACCGCTTCCACCGCCAGATCAACTGAAAAATGTAAATTTTGTGGTCCTCAGGGCAATTGAGAAGCTATGAGTGACTCAGCTGGGAACTACTGTGTTTATACAGAGTGTAGATGAAAACAGAGACTGAGAGGAAAATAAAATGCACTTGATCAATAAAGTAAATGCAGCTTGGCAAAAATGATATACAGAGGAGCAAGCTGTGGAAGATACATTCAGTGTAGAGAAATATCATTCTAGAGTTGATGTCGCTGGGAGTGTGAAAAATGCCTCGTTTGCAGATGCTGTAAAAATGTAAATAGTTAAATAACAATATGATGTGATGTGGTGTCCCCTTTATTTCCCAGTATTGGTAACAGCTGGGAGCACTTGTTGGAAAATGTTGTACATATTGATCCCATTTCCATATTTTGTTTTTTTGATTTCATTTTAACTTCTGTCGTTTTTTTTCTCCTGCACAAGAGTCATTCTGAGTTTCTCCACTTCTAGCCTCGGCCATGTCATTTCAATTACAGCGCAGGACTTTAAATTGTGGTGAAAAATGAGTCCACAGTGAGTAAAAATGTGACAGGAGCAAAAAAAAACACCCAGAATTTGCTTGGAGTTCTAAGACTTAACAGTGTTGGGAACACTATAACAAACTAAAGGAAAAAAAAAAGACAGGCACATCATGCCACGTCACTGCTTAAACAGTTGCCTGTTCACACGTCAAGCAGAGCAACTTTATCATTCAATTATAGTCGTGTTTGTGTCCACCTGATAAATGCAGGTCTAATATTGACTTTCCTTTTAGCTCTGGTTTGCTCTGCACCAGCTCCTCAGTGAACCATCTGGCTCTTAAGCTGCTGGATGTTGACCAGCTAGTCTCTAACTTTGTCTGCTTGTTAGTTTAGTGCTGGGCAGGTCGTGTACAGAGGGGTTTATGTATCACTTCAAACATCTGCCTGCTCCATCTGGAAACTAAAAGAGACTAAAATCCAAAGACTAAAAATGCAGAGTTGAGTGATTTTTTTTTTTTTTTTTTGTAGTAGTGGATTTACTACTACAATTGTCCACGTTACAATGACATCCATTCATTTCATCCATTGCTTCTATAAAAATATTGATTAATGCAGCTTTCACGGAACTAGGTCCCCTAAAACATAGGATCTCTAACATTCAATTAAAAGAAATTCATTGTGTTCTTTTACACACTTTCGTCACCTTTATGTTCACATTTGTAACATCAGTCATTAACAGCAAAGAATTTATCATCTGTTAATATTAATGGTTGTTTTACCAAAACACTGAGTCTCTGTACTGCCCCCACTAAATGAGAAACAACCAAAAAACTCTTGGAGGGGAAAACACAAAGCCAAAAGTCATATCTAAGGCACAGACAAACCGGTGCTCAAATGGTCCTTCTTTATTTTCCTACTGTCGGCTATCATATATAGTATTACAGAGCAGCAGAAAGTTGATTCGGAGGCTGGAAATTGTTTGACATAGACATGTGTATTCTTTGTTGTAGTGTATGCTGTTTTTTTTTACAGTCATGAGTGTCGATACTCACCGTACTGAGAGGGTGAAGTCTCCTGGATTACTTTTACTGGGTCTTGCTAAAAAGCTTCCATCCACTCCCCGAGTCAGCAGGAGGTTTTCGGCCTCCACACCTGTGATGTTAGGATGAAACCACCTGAGAGAGAAAAAGCAGAACAATAATTAGGCTTAGTGTAGCCATGTCCAAAATCACTGTTCGAATGTATTTATGTCTGTTTCTCCCTTCTGTTCTCTCTCCCCATTACCCTCAACTCAACTGGTGAAGGTATATGGAAGCCGTCTCATAGTCTGGTTCTGAGTTTTTTTCTTCCCACCGTCGTTAAAGTAGTTACTTGAAGGGGATTGCAGGATTTGTTGGGTTTCTCTGTATACCTTACAGCATGAAGTGCCCTAACATTACTTATTTTGTGAACTAGCACTGAATAAATAAAACTGAACTGAATTTTCTTTCTAAATCTTTAGGTTTAGGCATGCTTTCTAATGCTCTTGCTATGCACCACATTTGATTCATGCAAAAAATGCAATTGCGCCACAACAATGCAAATCAGAGGGGATGGTCAAACATTACACAATGCTTAGCACGGACTAGTATTCACCGGTTATTTCTATTTTTCTGATTACTGGTATTGCTGCTTTTTTTGTTTGTTTTTTAAGTGTCCTGATATATCACAGAAATAAAGGTGCTACGTCTCCCTCTGATACCATGCTGTGGTTTTTAGCTGATTTCTGGTTTCTGATCTGATTGGCTACAGGAAAAAAATCGGCAGATTAGTTGACAATGAAAAGTTTCCCTTTTCATACATTTTATACACCAAACAACTAATTGAATGATTGACAATGAAAACAATCATTAGTTGCATCACACTGCAAAATTTTATTGCAATGTTTGTAAGAAAAGTTACATTTTTTTTCAAATTATTCAGCCCAAAACCTAGCCATGTTGGGATTTTGATAATATTCAGATTAATCGACCAGCCCTAGTTTGTGCTTTACTTACTAAACCACAGTGCCACAGTGATTTTCCATAGTACAGTGCTACTACTGTAAAATGTGGCATCAGTATCTTATCATTTGCCTCCTGCTTTTCCTTAGGTTTCTCCCTTTTCAGGGAGCGCGTTTTACCTTTTCCCACTCAAAAGTCTATGAAAAGTAGTACTTCAACTACCAAATATTTTCATTGTCGAGTAATCCGTCAGTTATTTTCTTGAATAATCACCTTTACTTTACATGACCAAAAATACAGTAAAACCTCATTAGAGATGCAGAAATCTCAAAATTTTGGCTTTTTTGTTGTTGCCATTTTTGATTGAGAACGGACAACTAATTGTCAAAACAGCTGCCAATTAGTTTTCATTCAGTGAATGAACTGATTAACCATTTCAACTGCAGTGAAATCAAACCTGCATACAGGAACACTCTTCCCGGTAATAAAAACATTTGCATCTCTGCTCTGATGGTGTGCATGCGCAATGATCAGTTCTTTAAGTTAAATACATGTAATCAAGGCTGTAACTAATCAACATCCTGTCAAGATCATTTTCTCGATTTATGGATTCATTATTTCATCTGTAACATGTCAGAAAATTGTCAAAATGTTGATCCGTGTTCTCCAAAGCCCAAGATGACATCCTCAAATGGCTTGTCTGACCACAGCCCGCAGATATTCACTGTCCCTGTCATTTACTGTCACAGAGCAGGAATGAAACCAGAAATCATACACATTTAAGAAGCTAGGATCTGAGAATTTCGACATCCTGAATATTGTTCAAACCGATGAAAAGATTAGCAAAACAGCTGAAGATTAATTTGGTAGTTGACAATTAATCGATAAATTGACTAATTATTGCTTCTCTAATGAACAGAGCTGTCTTTTGTTTGTGATTCCGTGCTTAGTAAATAAAAGTAGCTTGAGTGGCTCATAGCATAACAAACCCATCCAGTTATATGCTACCTATAGCTATATTTCAATGGTGAAAGTCTGGGGATAGCTAACTTTACTTTTGTATGTCGCCAACTATATTTTATGAGCAGCTAAATGCCCATTGTAGATTTGATAGCAGTGTTGTTTACTCTTTAGACTGGGCTCTAAGTTGCCGGTGTAACGCTAAATGAAGCAAACCTGAGCTAGCTAGTTGTCTGCCGTCGGTTAGTTTCCAGAAAAGTCGGCACACTCGGAGCTCGTTTACCGACATATCAAGACCCAAACAGCTGAGTTCAGTTAAAGTTAGCCAGCTCAGCTAACATTCTCAGCAGACATTGTTTTCCAGACAGCCCCCCTTACCTCCGAGATGTCATTTTTTTCGTTCCTCACTTCCTCGCTGGCAGTTAGCAGTAGCTTCAACTAGCTGGCTAACGTCTCCGACCGTTTCTGCTTCAATCACGGAATAAAGTGCTTCATCGGTTCACACCCGGTCAGAGCGGGCACCGAAATCTACTGAGGCATCCGCAGCTAGTTTTAACAGCGTCCGTTACAACAAAAAAGTCTCTAGGCCTCGGCCCCGGAGACTTCACAGCCAGTCGATTATTGGACGTCACCAAACATGCGACAAAGTAAAGGGTGCGCGGATTTTTTCACCCTGCGCGACCGTTTGTCGCCACCGCTTCGCCCCCCGTTCAGTCACTGAACTCGGCCCGTCCGGCAAACGGCGTGACATAAATTAAAGAGCCCGATTGCTTTCACCCCGCGCATGCTCAATAGGAGCTGTTTTATGATACGACGGCAGAGCAGCAGGCAGCAGAACGTCCCCCTGATAGTCTGCGGATCATTCGCCCAGGCTGCTCGAACAGTTCGCCGCAGCCGCGTTTGCGCACTCGCGTCAAAACGAAACCTCAAAGAGGAGGACATTACTACTACTATTATTACCTCCGCCAAGGAGGCTGTGTTTTAGCCGGCGTTTACATGTTTGTTTGTTTATTTGTTTGTTTGTTTGTTTTCAAGGGAACTCTTGAATTTTCAGGAAATTTTCAGGAAATGTTGATAATGGCACAATAATCTGAACAAAATGTTGCAAGGCAGCAAAAAAAGTTGTCACACAGTTTTATGACAGCATATGTGCCTTCAAGTCGAAGCTGATTTTGTGGGAGACACAGCTGGTAAGTGGTGACCCAGCTCATTTCCCCTGTCTGAGAGTGGTACGATCACCAGTCATTAATGCTGACATGAAGCAGTATAAAGACAAGATTGCAGGATTGCTCTGGGAGTTCAAGAAAAGGTTTCAGGTCTTTGGTGAACTCGAGACAGAATTCGTAGTTTTTCACTCACCCTTCACAGTCAAAGCTTCTGATGTGCCTGTGGACAGCCAACTAGAAACAATTGATTTGCAATGTGATGCAGATTTTAAGGACAACTTTGCCTCAGTGAGCTTGGACTCATTTTATCAGTATCTCTTGCCAGCGTACCACAAATTAACAGCACTGGCTGTAAAAAGTTTGTGCATGTTTGAGACAACCTACCTTTGTGAATAAGTTTTATCAGTACTGAACATCAATTAAACAAAATTG